GCACGGGGGGGGGCAGGGGGGTTCATATCCTACTTAGCCCATCCTGCAGCATCCGGACTTCACTATGCAAATGGTTATATAAAGTGTCCAGGACTTCACTGTACACACCAACTTCTAACTGCCTTGGAACAAGAGCTTCCTTTAAGCACAAAACATGGTCAGGGAGGACGGCTCCAAATCCACCGTGATTAACATCAGCAGTGACAATGTCCCAAAGGATTTTATTACCTGGTCCACATTTAACACAGTGTTCATGAACAGCTGTTGCCTGGGTTTCATTGCCTATATCTTCTCTGTGAAGGTGAGTGTCCTTGTGGTGGGAGTGATGGGACAGGAGATATGTGTGAGATTGAGGCTCTTCCTGCCCAGAGGGTACCCGGGACATGCACACAGCCTTGTGTTTGTGCATGTGTAACGACACTCTGTGTTTGGTGTCCAGTATGTGTCTATGTTTGTGTGTGTAGACTGTGTATACAGCATATAGAGTATGTGGGTTTTATGTGTCTTGGAGACTCTCTTAGGTAGGCAAAGGGTGAGGCTGCCTGGGGATTCTGGGTAAGACTATCTCCACTCTAGTTTAGAGGAATTCTCCTTACGGCTTACTTTCTGGACTGCCCCTTTACCATTAAGACTGGGGCACCAGTCTGTGTGAAAGTGGGGCTTCCAGAAAACAGTACCTCATGGTGGGTTGAGCAGACAATGCTGTACTGTGCTGGACAGTCTGAGTGTGTGAAAGGGAGAGGGGTCCTTGACCTGAGGGAGGAGATTGCAGTGGATAGGAGGACAATGGGGGAACTGAGGCAGAGAACCAGGCTCTCAGATGACTTGCTCCAAGGCTACACTGATCATTTGGTCTCTTCTAGTCCAGGGACAGGAAGATGGTAGGTGATGTGAATGGGGCCCAAGACTATGCTACAACTGCCAAGCGACTGAACATCGCTGCTGTGATCGTCTCCATCGTCTCGTTCATTGTACTTATCATTGTAATCAGCCAACAAAAATAGAGGATAGGCATCAAGGGTGTGACTCCACGAAGTATGTGCTCTTTGTATACAGGGTCAACGGATTAAATTCTGTCATACGCTGTTTCCTTGGGGAAATCGTGCATGTGCTCCACCCTTCCCAGTTGTCCCCTATCCTGTAGAGGCCCTGACTCTACTCCTCATGTGACGGTTGCCCTCACACAGCTGTTCACATTGGAGTCAATAAAGTGTGCTGTGACTCTCTGTCCCCTGACTGGTCCTGTACTGCACTTACTCGGGTTTTCTTCCTGTCTAGGAGCAGCTATGGGGCGGCGGGGTTTGGGGGGTATAGTGCAGGGCATTCACAGCTAGGAAGGGCTCTGGCCTCTTGCTGGAGACAGCAGCTGACAAGCATCCCGCATAGGTCCTCTTTTACTTAGCAGGCACAGGCTGGCAGTAACTAAGTATGGCCTATCTCTGGCTCCACATACCCAGAGCACTCAGCAAGGGTGGAGAGTCATAAGCTAGGGAGTCCTCATTCCAGGGATAAAGGGCCAGTCCAGGGTCCTCCCAGTTCAGGAGGAAGAAGCTTCAAACCCTGGACAAACTGTGTCCAGGGTTTCTGTGGTGGCCTCTGGCTTGGATTCTGGGCAGGCTGCTTACACCACCAACTAGATGCAATGACCCTTACCTTCTCGAACACTTCTCACAGATCAGGGGGTGGACAGCAGGAGTGGGTGGTGGGGTGGGGGTGGGGTAGTGAACAGGAAGTCTTCGCTGCCAGGCGCCACCTGCTGACGGTGGAGCACATTATCACTCTTGGGTCCTCTGATCTGAGATGGGAGGGCAGGACTTCACTGGTCTTGGCACCCTTCACCATCAGTCTGAACTGGAAATTCAGCTCTTCTCTTCCTGTATGCGGTTGGTACCTGTGTTTCCACCTCATTTTGGAAATCCACCTTAAGATTACAAGTCTTTGGAGCCTCCCAGGTGGCACCGTCTTTCTGTGTTGGTACTTGGATTCTAGTCCTGGGTTCTGATCACCTTGTGATGCTAAGCAGGGCTAGAGATGCCCTCTTCACCAAGGTCCAGGGTTCTGGAGCAGAATCACTTCCTTCACTGGGAGCTGAGCTTGTCTTAGGAAGGCAGGAACCCTAATGGTAGTGAAGACAGAGCTCTCCCACTGGGAGAGCTGCTATCATATTGGAGGAGAGTGAGTCCACCAGACTAGGTCTCAGGGATAAATCAAGGCCTGTTCAGTTTCCACCAGCCAAGGAAAAAATTTCTGAGAAGGTCCCAGTGTGACATCTCCACTAAAACTCATGGCCCTGGGCCTTCAGAGAGCTCAACCTCAGATCCAGGTCATGACTGAATGAAGGTAGAGACTTTGGGACAAGGAACACAGTCCCGATGGTCACACTTCAGGTTTTCCTAATGCTGTATATGAGCAATGGTCGGGCAACTATCCCATGGCATGGAAACCTCAGATGTGTTAGGCACTGTTGGGCACAGGAGCCAGGCAGTGATCTCCAGACTGAACACCATTCTAACCTTTGTCTCAAGAGTAACATATGGGCCTAGATATGGCTAGTGTTTACTACAACCCCTGAGTGAAGACACAGTGGGGCTGCTCAGCCTGGGAGAGCCCCCATGCTCCTTCCCACTCACCAAATGTGTAACTGGAGCAGAAACAATGGAAGTTGTTATAACTCCCCATTGTGTTGGTGACCTGCAGGGCAGGGTAGAGTGGTCAGCTTGCCAGGGAGACTCCAAGTTGCTCCCTAGCCAAAACCAGAGAGTAAACAATGTCTCAGCCTGAGAAGACAGCAGAGAAACCCCAGCCCCCCAGCCTACACTGAGCGGGGAGAGGGGGAGATGCTGAGTTTTCCTCAGCTGTGTGGCAGCTACAGGACAGAGGGTCTCTGGTAGGAGACAATGGGTTCCTGCGACCCACCAATAGGAGTCCATTTGGAGATCAGTCCCACATAGACAAGGCTGTGGGTCTGAAATGTACAGGGACACGAAACCAGAAAGTGTGGCCTCTCTATTTCATCTCTACTGAAGGACACTGGCCAGACCTGTAGGGAGCCGTCCCTGCATTCTCCATTACAAGATGGCGCCTGCATCCGGCAGGCACCGAATGTAAACAAGATTATTGCGCAGGCGCTGGGTAATTTTCCATTCCTTGATCTCTGCCTATTCCGTGGCGTCATATGGCCGGATGAGCTGCAGCCAATCATGGGGTGACACGCCCGAGGCGGCGGTTGCCAGCCTTTATTAGGGGAAGGGATTCTTGGCTCCGGGGCTCCGCTCTGGGAAGCTTATGCCCTTTCACTCTCAAGACGCATTCAAGCTTGTCTGCAGAAGGATCCGAGTGTCCCGTGTATGATTTCTTGCTGGCGAGAAATACAGAGCGCGCGGGACACAGACCTATCCCTGGAGAGCAGAGTCAGGACAGAACCTGACAGATCAAATGTCAACAATGGTGTATTGTGTCAGAAATGGATCATTCAAGATGGAGCAAAAGGTTGGCCCTGGTCCTTAGTCTTGCAGCTGTGTTTGTCAATCCCTGCCCTCTGGCAAAGGTTACCCATAGGACCAAATGAAGAAGATGGAAAAATCCAAAGATGGCTTCTCAATGTATGTGCCCCATGGGGAAGAGCAAGGCAAGACAGGAAGAGACCTCTTCCAGCCCACTTGGGGCGGGGGGACATGAGATACTGAACATACATGCAGGACTGGGTATAGCTCCCCACCTTTGTGGATAGGGAGATAGATGTGAAGGCCTGGATACGGCAAGGCCCTCATAGCTCACCAAAGCTACCAGGAGAGAGGAAGTAGGGTCCCAGTAACTGAGGATGGCAGAGCAGTGGCCACAAAGTTTGAAACGACCATTAACTTTCAGTATAGTCTCTGTCATGGCTAGAAAAACATCTGGGAACAAAAGTGTTTGACTTCAGGAATATTGTGAGACCATAGTAAACAGAACTATGGTTGAAATTAAATATTGCTGACTTAAAAAATAGTTATACTGCTGGGTGGTGGTGGCACACACCTTTAATCCCAGCACTCAGGAGGCAGAGGCAGGCAGATCGCTGTGAGTTTGAGGACAGCCTAGTTTACAGAACAACTTCCAGGACAGGCTCCAAAGCTACATAGAAAAACCCTTTCTTGAAAAACCAGTAAACAGCCGGGTGGTGGTGACGCTCGCCTTTAATCCCAGCACTCGGGAAGCAGAGGCAGGCAGATCTCTGTGAGTTAGAGACCAGCCTGGTCTACAAGAGGATAGCCTCCAAAGCCACAGAGAAACCCTGTCTCGAAAAACCAAAAAAACCACACACACAAATGAAAAACCAATAAACAAACAAACAAACAAATAAATAAACAAAAATACCACAATCCAACATCCCTGAAACCAGACTGTGTTGTGACCACAGGACAACACTTGATTTACAAAAGCTCAGGGGTTAGTCATATTATTTCGTCTCCCACAAGGCTGAAAGGCAACAGGAGAGTAAACTGCTGGCCATCAATTCAAACTTTCCCCTCATGGATGTGTGAGGAGTAGTGTGATGTAGGCCCTGTTGGAGAATTTTTCCACAGGACACAAAGGAATAGCATGCCAGAATTCAATGGAACCCGCACTCTCAGGCTCCAGTCATAGTCACCGCCCCCAGGTCAAAGCCCTACTCTGTATATGGTGGCCCTGGGCCTGAGGCCTGGCATGAGTCTCTGTGAGGGAGCAGGCGAGTACATGGATATCACACTACCTATTCCAACAGGCAGGACTCTGTCAGGGAAGTTGATTAAGTCAGCACCAACTAACAGGGTTGCAAAGGGGTGACTACAGGAGGTACTGTTATATATGTTATGTTAACATAATGAATGAAATGACTAGAACCTAGAAACTGAAGGAGCCACAAACCCCAAGACTCAGAGCTCTAGGAAGGGTGGGTGCTGCAAGGCGCCTTGAGGCAGGTCTGGTAGCCTGGCCCTCACGGTACCACCAAGATAGAAAGTGGATACTCCTAGTAGGAGAGTCCAGGCCAGGCCTCCCTGCTGTCAAGGAAGTGTAGCAAACAAAATCGTTCAGCATAATCAGGAGTGGCTTTCGGTGCCACAGCCCTCACCTCACCAGCCACTTGAGAGGGCTTTTCTGGCACAATGAAGGCCTTAGTGACCATTCCGCTAGCACTAATAAATTATGATAGGGCTGGAGCAATAGGGAGTTGGAGTAGCACAAATGTGACAGCCCTGGACAGGGAGGTCATAGCCATGTGGCCTGGGATTAATCAGTCCTAACACCAAAGTCCAGTACTGACCACACTTAGGGCATTAGGTCTCTGTAAAAGGAGACACAGACAGGTACAGTTTACCCCAACCTCTACCTGCAGCAAAGTCAGTAGAACTGGCCTCCATAGTGGGTGTAGTGGGCATGGTGGGCACCCTGTATTGCTGGGAGAAGGGGAGGTTATGTAGGGGCTGGCTTGCACCTTGGTCAGGGACAGTGAGGTTCTGCAGCTGTAAGCCTGAGTTTGGTAGACTCCAGGACCCCTCATTCATAAACAGTGAAGTTAAGCCCTGGGACAAGTCCTGACTTGGGTTCCCGGACAGGAAGCTCCCCTGATTCACAGTCCCTCTTGACATCCTGCCCTGAAGTAATTTGATCCACAGGACGTTTAGATCCACGCCCCTCAGGACTCAGCCAATTCTCATTAAGCCAAAATTCAGGAAAAGGAAACTTCTGAGAAACCGAAACTGCTGGAGAAAGGGCGGACCCACAGAGCTCTTCATCCTTACCCCTCACTGCTGGTTTTGCGCTGCACCATGAACCACACTTCTCAAGCCTTCTTGACTCCTACCAATGGGAGGGCGGACCCACAGAGCTCTTCATCCTTACCCCTCACTGCTGGTTTTGCCCTGCACCATGAACCACACTTCTCAAGCCTTCTTGACTCCTACCAACAAAGGGCAGCCCCCAAACTATGAAAGAATCAAGGAAGAATATGAGGTGGCTGAGCTGGGGGGCTCCCATGGCTCAACCTCTGTCAGAACCACCGTGATCAACATGCCCAGAGAGGTCGCTGTGCCTGACCATGTGGTCTGGTCCCTGTTCAATACGCTCTTCTTGAATTTCTGCTGCTTGGGTTTCATTGCCTATGCCTACTCTGTGAAGGTGAGTGTGGCGGAGGTGGGAGTGACAGTGTAAGAAGGTTTGTGGGAAAACTAAGCTCATTTACTCAGATGGCACCTGTGTGCGTGTGCGTGCGTGTGAGGTGTCCTTTGTTTAAAATATTTGTTTGCATTCTGCTTCTGTGTTTTGTGTGCATGGTGTGTGTGTGTGTGTGTGTGTGTGTGTGTGTGTGTGTGTCTACTGGCTTAAAGACTCTCTAGGGCAGATATAGGGTGAGGCTGCCTGGGGATCCTGGAGTCAAGACAGTCCCAACGCAGTCTAGAGGAATACCTAGAGTGCTCCCTCCACCTTGCACACTGGGTTGCTAGCCTGCTTGAAAAATGCCGGGGAGATTCATGGGAAACAACACTCCATGGTGGGGTGAGCAGAAAGTCCTAGGGCCTCCTGCATGGTCAGTACATAAAATGTTCTTGACCTCCGTGGGAGAGAGACAGTCCACAGGGAGTATGATGAGGAAACTGTCAGGGCATTTGCCCATCAGCTCCAGGGCCACTGACCACCTGCTCTGCTCCAGTCTAGGGACAGGAAGATGGTGGGCGATGTGACTGGAGCCCAGGCCTACGCCTCCACTGCCAAGTGCCTCAACATCAGCGCCCTGGTCCTCAGCATCCTCATGGTTGTCATTACCATCATTGCTGTCGTCTCCATTATGGTTTCTGCTGGTCGTCTTTACATTTAGTAGAGGATTCTGGCTTTTGGTCCTGACATGTGCTGCCACCATCCACAGCTGCTTTGCTCCTTTACTCCTCCCTATATAGAGGTTAACACTCACCCATCTGTCCATCGTGGATTCAATAAAGTACACATGGTAGTTACTGTGCTTTGACTGGTCGTATTCAGCTCGCCCCTCAATCTTCCTTTCTCTAAGGTGGGCAGATTGGTTATTCTCAATTTGGCAGGTATCTGGCTCACTGCTGTGGACATTTGCTGGTCAAAGTCCTGGATGGTATTTGGCTGCTCCAGGCAGGGAGAGCTTGAACTTCATCCAGCCCTGGCCACATATTCTCATGGCATCCAGCCCAGTTCAGAAGTGGAGGACCACCAGGCCAGGGTCCTTTCCTTTCAGGAAGAAGAAAACTGTGACCCAGACAAGATGTGTTATGGGTTCCATTGGTGCTCTCCGGGTGTATCCCTGGGCTTACGCAGCCCAGGATTTGCTGGATGTTCTGGTGGGAGCCTGGTGTCCCCTGCTGGTCCCATATCAGCGTTGCAGTTCGTTCTATGTCCTGGAGTCCGGACAAATCCTAAACAAGGTTCACACTGTCTGCCCTGGTGCCCCCTGTCTGCATTCTGCGGATACGGCGACCACGTGACCTTGTGGGGAATTCCCCACCCCCATCGCAGTAAGAGTGAGTTCTGAATCGCCCCTCCTCTGCCAGGTACCACTCACTTCTTGGTTCCCGGTGGTCCTTGTACCCACGTTTCCACTTCACTTAGGTGTACGAGTTTTATGAATCTCCTGGGGGTGGGCGCTCTCCCTTGTTGGTGCTGGGGTCCAACCTACGTCCCATAGGTGCCTTTCCAAGGGTACTTACTTCGGGTTCTCTGAGGCAAGCATCTTAAAAGTTGCTGAGTCTTCTCCCTGTGTCTATGGACTCCGCCTTGCCTGTCCTCCTGCTCCTGACCCCCTAAATCATTGTGGTGGGTTTCAATGTAGCTACAACACCTAGGGCAGCGCGGTGGGTCTGAAGCGCCTTGGATGCAAGGGAGAGAGGCGCTGTAATAGTTGCTTGCAGTCAGGAGTGGAACGCGGTGGGGACACTTCTGCAAGTTCTAAAAGGTTTGGTCTTCTAGTCCAGGATGGCGGAGACCCCACAGCAGGTCAGGACCCCAACTTGCCCTCCAGCTCAGACTCTGACAGAGCTGATCTGCCCAGCAGGGAATTTAACCACCAAAGAGGGGAACAAAAGAAGCTTGCCTAAAGGCGACTGCCTGGGAAGTGCTGCGGGATTGTTTACTTCAACCTCACAGGACGTATGACTCACAGGGAGGGTGTGTGGAAAGGAAAGTTTGGGATTAACTCTGAGGTGTGGGAGACAGGGCTCCTCTACTGGGGGCACAACCTGTACTCCCGCCCCAACCCACTCCCCAAGCAGGTTTGGTTTCCCTGAAAGTATTTTTATAAAGGGATCGTGTCTTACTGGGGTTGGCTAAGTACTAAAGAGGTACAGAGGAAACAGGGTAGAGACGGACAATTAGAATGACTCCAGAAGGGAAGAAGTCCACCCTGGGATCTAGTTTGTCCTCTTCACTGGTTGAGAGTCAAGAAACTTGATAAGAACAAAATTAGCTACATGACTGTCTTTTTTTTTTAAGATTTTAAAAAAATTATTATGTATATAACATTCTGCTTCCATGTATGCCTGCACACCAGAAGAGGGCACCGGATGTCATTATAGATGGTCATGAAACAACATGTGGTTGCTGGGAATTGAACTCAGGTCCTCTGAAAGAGCAGTCAGTGCTCTTAACCTCTAAGCCATCTCTCCAGCCCCCTACATGATTGTCTTAATCCTTTATTTAGTCCTCTGAAAGAGCAGTCAGTGCTCTTAACCTCTAAGCCATCTCTCCAGTTCCCTACATGATTGTCTTAATCCTTTATTTATTTATTTATTTATTATTTATTTACTTGGTTTTTCGAGACAGGGTTTCCCTGTGGCTTTGGAGGCTGTCCTGGAACTAGCTCTTGTAGACCAGGCTGGTCTCGAACTCACAGAGATCCACCTGTGAGTTCTCTGCTTCCCCAGTGCTGGGACTAAAGGCGTGTGCCTGGCTCCAAGATAACTCTTATAAAATAAGATTGTAATCTGTAAGCCAAATAAACCCTTTCCTCCCTGTGGTGGTTTGAATGAGTTCTACCCCCCACTCCAGATTCATATATTTGGCTACTTGGTATCCAGCTGGTAGAACTGTTTGGGAAGGACTGGGAGGCGTGGCCTTGTTGGATGAGGTGTGTCACAGGGTGTGTGTTGGGAGTGGGCTTTGAAAGTCCACACCATGTTCTCTCTCTGCCCCATGCTTGTGGTTTGTGATAGAGCCCCCCAACTACTGCTTCAATGTCATGCCTGCTTGACTGCTGCCATGTTCCCTGCCATGATGGCCGTGGACTCTAACCATCTGGAACTGTGAACCCCAAATTAAATACTTTCTTTTATAAGTTGCCTTGATCCCAGCAATAAAAAAGTACCTAAGGCACTCCCCAAGTTGCTTTGGGTCATGTTCATCTCAACAACAGAAAATCAAACTAGGACACCTCCCGCCAACCCCCCCCCCCCCACAAACATGCAAAACCTGTAGAAGAATGGCCACACAGGGAACTCCATGTCTGTCCTGGCAGGAGCAATGAGGGCGCTGAGTGATTGCCAGAATCAAGGAAAGTTCCTTTGTGGTGAAGGGCACAACATATCACTTGCCACTTTAACCCATTCAGTAACTTCCCATGGACCCAGAATTCTAAATTTCACTGCATGGCAGGATGAATGAAGGAAAGGTTGAGAGAACCTGACGGCAGAGCCTCCTGTTCTCCTGATGTGCCACCACCCTAACCACCAGAGTCCCTAGAGTGGGATCATCTAGGCTTCCTGGCATCTGTCTGAGCACTGTCTGCTTGCAGCCCAGGGGTGACACCCTGGAGGGGTCGTCAGTTTGCTTCTGAAATCCTGAGGGTTGAAGGTAGGGACAAGTGACAGAATTCACATTGTTTTGATGCTGTTTTCTTGGCATCTGCTTGAGTCAGTCCTGTCCAAGCCTTGAAGGTGCCTCATGCACCTTGGTGAAGGCAACTTTTTAGAAAGAAGGATTTATCTGGCTTTCAGTTCCAGGGGGCAAGTTGAGGGGGGTGGGGTTTAAGAGCACTCAAGAGTCTGTTGTGACAGGGAAGTGTGGCAGCAAGCTGAAGACTGTTGGCTGAGGCAGAAGCTGAGCGTGCGCATCTTTTTTTGTTTTTTTTAAGATTTCATTTATTTATTATGTTTACAGTTTTGTGCCTGCAGGCCAGCAGAGGGCACCAGATCTCATTCAAGGTGGTTGTGAGCCACCATGTGGTTGCTGGGAATTGAACTCAGGACCTCTGGACAAATAGTCAGTGCTCTTAACCGCTGAGCCATCTCTCCAGTCCCTAGATAGTGCACATCTTAATCCACAGCAGGAAGCAGAGCGAGACAACTAGGAGTCCCTATGGCTTTTGAGACCTCAAAGCTTGCCCCACCCCAAGGCCACACCTGTCAGCCATTAACTGGGGATCAATTATTCAAAAGTTTGAGAAAAGGGACACACCTCATTCATACTACAGGAGCTTCACTCCCTATGAACTAGGAGGCTTAACTAGTCTCAAGAAAGAGCTGGTGCTTTAAAATTTACTACTTATTAAACTGGCAACCTGTCTCTTCAGGTGACACCACATATGACCTATGAGATAGGGCTGAATAACCCTTCTGCATTATAAAAGACTTCTATCTCCTCCGAGCCCTGGGATGTGATGCTTCCTCTGGAATTTGGATTGGGTTAATTGACAGTTGGCATTCTTTCATAGTAGGAGAGGGTGGGGAGGGCCACGGGGACCCTCATCTGAGAGTCTAGCCACTTGGTCTTGCACCTCCCCTAGGTGTCCCAGACCTCTGTAGACCAGGCTGGCCTCGAATTCATGGAGATTCACCACACCTGTTTCCCAAGTGTTGGTATTAAAGGCAAGCACTACCACCACCTCTTGTCAAGGAAGGTGCATTTAAGCCATCTGAATCCATGTTCTGGTAATGGTTGTTTTAGCTCTATGCCTCCTCCTCTTCCTTCTTCCTCCCCCCTCTTCTTCTATGGAAATATGGTCTCACTCTGTTGATTATAGAGGAAACATTTTATTTCAAACCACAACATACACTGGCTTGACATAGACTCACCTGGTCTAGCCTTTGCTCATTCAAGGCTAAAGAAGTTCACTAACTACCACGACCAGAAACATCAGGCCATGAAAAGAGTGAGGAGATGCTGTTGCTGGGTAGGCAACAGGTTAGTTTTGAGAGAACGGAGAAAAATGGCAGCTGAATCTTGGTAGTTGTGCTTCCCATTGGTCAGAACTTTCTTTTACTGTTGAACATCCTTGATGATGCATTAGGACTTTGCCGCTGTATCAGGAGCTAGGGCTCTAGAACACTTTCCCTCTGCACACAGGTGTGCACCCTCAAAGATTCAGGCCTCACTGTAGTATCACTTTCATTGTGGTTTTGATCCCTTCCCTGTGGGTTTTTCTGAAGGACCACAAATACTTGTCCATCTAGCATCCTAGCCCTTCTCACCTCCTCCACCCTAAACTCCCTCCAGCTCTCGGGCTTCCCTCCCCAAGGCTATTCATCCTTCTTACAACCTGGCTACCTACTCTTGCTATTCTTTCTTGCTTTTTGCTCTTCTCACTAGCCTCTCTTCTCTTGCTATCTCCACTATTCTCTTCCTCTTCCCTAGTCCCGCCATGTCCAGTCTGTTCTCTTTTCTCTCTGTTCTGGACTCTTCCAGATGCCTCTAGATATTTTCTCTTTCTTATTCACAATAAAAACCTTACCCCTATCAGGGTGTTGGTGTCACGCGCCTTTAATCCCAGCACTTAGGAGGCAGAGGCAGGTGGATCTGTGAGTTCAAGGCCAGCCTGGTCTACAAAGTGAGTTCCAGGACAGCCAGAGAAACCCTGTCTCAAAACAACAGCACAACAAAAAGCCTTCCATCTAGTAATGGAGCAGTCATATTGGCAGTTTCTTTACTGCACCCCTCACATACAATGAGAAGAATCTTACCCAACTGTCTCATAAATTCACTGTTTTTTTCTCTTTCTGTTTC